TCGCGAAGACTGGCCATTATTATAGATAGCATACCTATACTAGAAACTGACATTCTGAATGCAGTTATAATATTTAAGTGAAATTCACACTTATTCCCAGAGGTATCTGCAACCAAGGTATACAAATACTCTGATTTTTCTTTTTTACTGAGAAAAGCAGAAAAAAAATATAATTATTTTTTCTGAAAAGAAGTAGTTGAAATTAAAGGCAAGGACAAAGAACTATTTCTTAGCTTTGGTAAAGTTATCAAATGGTAGGCTTTTTCTGTGAGGAAAAATATCCTTTATAATAGTATTAAAGGGTCTTAAGACGCTGACAGCAGAAGCATCACTGATGTTCAGACAGGCATCTCAGCAGAAATAGTTGCAAGAGACTGACTTACTGTAACAAGAAAGACAACCTTCTGTCTTGAAGCTGTATTATCAAGGTCAACCTTTTATTAATGTTCAAAAATTCAAGCACCTTGATGAAGTCCCCCCTTACTTCCAAATCATGATACTATTTAAAAGATATTCTATGACATAAGACCAGCTGCCTTAGGGCATATTAGCTATATGTCCCCCTCCCCTGCCCCGTGATGTTTTGTGCATGGTTTGCCACAGTTTCCCCCCATCCCTTCATCTGTGTTTCTTATTGTTCTTTCAAAGGCAGCATGGAGGAGACTGAAAATGATTTAAACTTCATCCCTCTCCTCCTCCTCACCACACATCTTCCTTTATATACACTGGTGTGTAGATGAAGATTACAGCCATTGTTTGCAAGACAGGAATTTACAGACTGACTGTAAGAAAGCCCCCCCTTCACCTGCATCCACACTGATACTCATTGACCACAGCCTGAAACTAAGAAAACATTAGAAGTGCAAATACTGAAAGGAATAAGTCTGCTTTTTTGTGTTTTACCAGGCATAGATTCAAAGCAAAATGAAAGTACACTTCTGAAAGAACAATTGCTAAAATCAACAATGAGAACTGAGAATCTGATTGACTTCAGTGAACCCTCAGTAATGCCCTTTCTGCTTAAAGATCTGCTATAAAAATAAGATCTCCTCAAATGCATAAAAATAAGGTACTTGCATTGTATTGACTTAAAGTTGCCTCAGAAATATTTCCTTTTGAATCTCAGTTCTGATTATAATTACACTATACTTTCACACTGCATTTATTTCTAGTATAGCAGCATTGCCATGACAACCCCAAATTATGTCAATATATATGCATGTTTGAGCTAATTCTTTATGAAAGAATTAAAAAGAGAAAAACTGAATCAAGAGCAGGGCTAGAGAGCACTGCCTGTGTCACACACACTGTAGGAAATCTGTACAAATTCTAGAGCATTTTTCACTAGAGTTGCAATAAAAGACACAAAATTTTATTTCTTTGTATTTTTTTTTTAATTCCATCTTTCTTGTTTCATTTAGCTACAGTCCTAGAAGAGAGCTTGGCTGAAGTCAACTGTATTACAACAGGTCTGGATTTCACTCACGGGGAACATAGCTTTTCCTTTACACTGAACAATCAAATTTGCCAAGCTTGTCTCTGGCAGCCAGACTTGACCAAGTGCAGTTGCTGTAGTACAGAAAGAAACACTCTAAACTAAGCATTTATGGCTGTGCAGAGATCCAGAGACTGTCACAAGGAGATGAGGAGGAGCCCCCTTTCACCATTTTGTTCGTCTCCCTCCCCTCAGCCAGCAAGTGGCTAATTCTGTCCCCAGAGTTGTCCACAATTCTCCACTGTAAACATCAAGAATGATAGACCATCCCTATCTCTTTGTGCTGACTATATGAAATTTTATGGACCATCAATGCTCTTAAGAGCACTCTGGAAATGGAATAGTATCATCATTCAACTCCTTGCAGGACTAGTAGTGAGAACAGTTTTGAGCAAAACTGGATGAAGCAGTAGTTTTAGTCTTAGTTTAGGTTTCTGGGGGCTATGCAGCAGTCTTGCAGACATTCATGACTCTTCACAGAAAAAATATAGATTATCATTAATAATAATAAACTAATAATAATTATATAGTCAAAATATTAAAAAGGTTGCTTTTATTTCTCTGTGAAAATTAAAATGTTGAGCTTTCCTTTAGTCTGATTTTGTAAAAGCCAGCTTTATTTGACTCAATAAAGTGACTAAACAGTAAGTAGAGGATGGTAACTGTACACTAAAGTGGGAGGAAAAATCAAATGTCAGATAAGAATTGCCTGAGCAAAAGAATGTAAGACCATTTTTTAAGTCATGGAAGGAGTCAAAGTAAGGTTGCCAAGGAAACCTTAACTTTGCTTTTCCTACGTTGTTTTTTGTTTTTTTTTAATTATGAACTTAACCTCTTCATTGTGCCAAAATTAATGGGAATTTTGAGTCCTATCAATTAGTCTGTGGTTTTGTCTTTCTTCTTTGTCTCTGCTCATTTGTCATATGATATATTAGAATCTGAACGTACCTTTCTGAACATCATTTATGCTACGTACAGGGAAAATTATAAGGTTAAAGAAAAAAGACCTCTCAACAGTCATTTAAGGAAAGAGAAGCCCATAAAAAATGGAAGCACGGCGGCCTGTCTGTATGGCTTTGAACAACACCCTTCCGAGATAAAACCATATTGATTGGACTGATTCTAGATAGCTGGCTTTGCAGCACCATCTGCATGCTGTGGCAATCTATGATTCTAATTATTTGGAATTGTTATTCAGGCTGATAAATTGTATGAAGGATTTTGTTTTCCATCAAGTCATTCTTCATTCAGCACTGATAGCATCATAATTAAGTAGCAGTTGCTGGCTCTGAATGTGGATAATTCATAGGAATTATTTCTAATAAACAAACAACATAGAATGTATTAAAAACCATCCTTAAAACATAATCTCTTTCTCTGTGTACTGGATCTATTCCCTCTGATACAACCTAATCAGACAAAAAGCAGAGGAGGTATTTGCACATTTCGGCTTTCCTGTTCTGCGAGCTTTGTTAGGAAGTGTTGAATATATTAAGCTGAGATGCCTGCTCTTTATTAACAAAGAAATTACATGCTGTAGGAACACATGGAATGAAGATAACCAGGACACTGGGAAACACAAATGTGTTGGGGTCATACACTAGCAGTACTTATTAAGTAATCAATTTATCATGAACTACGTCATACACTGAAAGTCAGTGTTCACTGTGTGATTGAAGTATTTACAATAGTAAGAAGTATTTACAGTAGTAAGATTATTCAATGCCAGCTACACAGGGGCCATTAATTCCATTCAGTTTCAAAGGGCACAACACACTAAATAACTGGGAAGTCCAGAACTGGCCAGTTGCCATCATTAAGGTTGTAGGCACAAGGAGTTTAAAAGTATAAAAGACCTTCTACATGCATTGTATCATAATAATTTCACACAACTTTCAAGGGCCATTTAATGATCCTTCATTATGAGGTAAATATTGGTGTTTTGTATGAACCTCAACAGACAGGCACTATGAGATGGTGGAAAAGAATCCTTCTTTTTCTATGAACTGTGGAATTGGATGGTAAATTTTTTCTGGAAGTGGTTTGTTTAAATAAAAGTGCGATTGAAGAGCAATATGTGCAAAATTGTCTTTTATGAACTTTATAGAGATAGTGGATTTAGTGAATTTTTCAATCTTGAATACTTTCTGGCTTCAAAATTCTATCACTCACTAAGGAAAAGACAATATGCCTATGAAGCTTGTATGGTCTAGGCTCCCGTAGCCTTTTAACCTATGTAATGCTTCTAAATATTGCATTAAGTATTCAGGTCAGTAGCACATAAGCATAGGCTGTTTCTGTCCTTGATTCGAACTACAAGGCAGTTCAGGCCAGTGAGTTGTATCCATATTTGTCATATTTACATTTATTCAGTTAATTCCACTGGAGAAAATGTTGACTGTATTTAGCCCTTCTATTTAAATTCAATCGAACTGAATAATACTGGATATTATGTGCCTATATGGGTTCATACTGTCAGGCTATTAAATATAATGTATTGGATTATTAAACAGCTACAGCAAAGTGATTTGTAGCTTACCATTGCAAATTGTGTGCAATTTTCTTCCTACAGTTTATTAAAGGAGAGCAACTCCTTTCTTTATGTAAGTGTGTATCTTATTTTTCTGGTATTTTTGGACATGGTGCTTATCTTCTCCCCTCCTCTGTTCTTAAAAAAGATAAAAAAAGGGGGGGAGCTAGAGAAAAGAAGAGAAAATGTTTTTCTTTCTTCTTTGTGTCTTTTCCTCCATGCAGGTAGTTTGGGACTTTAAACTACAAACTGTCATTGACTAACCTTCATCTCATTAAGCAGGTTCTCAAAGGATTGCTTTGTTTTGCAGAACACATTCCATTTTCCACCTTCATTAGCGAACTGCTAAATATTTTACTTTGTCACAAGACTAGAATGCATAAACAGATGCATCTTCCTTTCTTTCTGACTCCTTCTCTTCAAAACATATTCTGATAATCCTCAAAGAAAACCTAGATGGATTTCATCAATTTATTACTGTCAGTTGGCCGAGAGGTAAGATACAGAGTAAGAAAAAGAGAAAGGGAATTTTTTTAAAGGAAGAAGTTGTATATGTATAAATATTGCATTTAGGGGGAAAAAAGCAAACCACAGTGGCAGTTCACCATGGCTATAGTAGTGTTGGAGGTCTGCAAATGTTTCTCTGAAGCACCATGCAGAAGGTTCCTCTTCCCACCCCGTGGGCTGTTGAACATACTACCTTGCACTGTGCCACCTTTCCTTGCAATACATAACATGTCCTGACAATTTTCAGTATTGCAGGCAAACAGATTTACTAGACTTACTTTACATACGAAATGAGATAATGAATTAAAACCCCAAACCATTTTCCATTTTAAAGTTAAGGGGAGTATTTTCATTTATTTCAGCAGAATATAGATCAGGCTTTTTCTTTCAAACTAAGAAAGCTTTCTTCTCATTGAAAGACAAAATTTACCATGTATAATGTGATTAATGCCAAAGTCTGTGTCTGCTGGATGGGTTTCAGTATCTGTCAAAGCATAGTATTTGATTGAAAGGTAGGTGGGCCTGGTGGGCCTGGGTTGATGGTCTATTCCACCTCCCATTTACAGGCAGGACCCACTACCCACTCCTAGTCAGGTGGCACTGGGAAAAGCGCAGCATGTAAACACGGAATGGTTGAGCAAAACAAAATAACAAGACAAATATCTTGTTTACATTGTGCAGTAGGCCTCCAGATTTTGAGACTTGAGAGACAGCTAAAGGAATGTGGAAAATAAGGACAGTGCTTATGCATTTTTAATATTTTTTAGTACCCTGGGTTTCTCATAGCAAATTCTTCAAATGCACATCACTCACATTGGATGTCCAACTGCACGTTGCCCTGCATTTTCAATTATTGTCCATCACCATCCATAAGTGACATTCCTGACACTTAGAACTGAGAGAAACAAGGTTCACTCTTTATCCCTCTCTTCATGCTTAACTAGCAGGTTTCTTAAGTTTCTTCTGGACATCTGAGAAACAGAGGTAGTTTCTGCGCTTGCAACCCGGGCAGCTTGACCTGACAAAGGGGAGTAGGATATTATTACTCTGTAAGGGTTGGAAGGCATTACTATGGGTCCCAAGCACAAACACAGTTAAACCACAGAAGATGAGGAGAATGAGCCATGTGAAGTAAACGTTTCCTTTTATTCCTTTATTAAGCAAGCTCTTGGGAAATTCTTTTTGGTTGCTTGAGGCTGCCACTTGATTCAAGAAAGCCCACTGAGCCTTTTATTATCAGGTTCATTTTAACCAGCATTTTGCTTCAACAGTACTCCAAATGCTTTATTATCTATTTTTATTAAGCATTACAATGAGAAGGTAAAACTGATTACGCCTCTCCCATGCACTGCAGATTGGCTTGGGCTCGTGCATTGTAATGAGCTCATTCTGCTGGCCTCCCACAGTGGCCGCAGCTTTGCCAGTGAGTGGAGCAGGGGTTATAAACTTTTTGTTTTATTTTAGGTTGATTTGCATTGTTACTGAAAGCTAGAGTGACGATTGTTATAAAAAGGAGACAGGCGCTCAGGAGATTAATACGCAAGTAGAAGTTTAGTAAGCCTTAGATTACCATCCTAACAACATTCTTAGCGGGGGATTGGACACATTACTACTTGGGAATTTAAAAATGGCGGGGTAAACTCTTCACTGATAGTCTTAGCACCTGTGGCCTCCAGGATAAAACATGCTTTTACTGCAGGGAGAACCTGCTCCACAGTCACATCATGTCCCCTTATTCTACCATTTTCAAAGCAGTGAAAGAAAAAAACCCAAAAGCTTTTAATGAATGTGTTTGATAGTTGGAATAGTTTTCTGAAGGGTTTTGACAAGTTTTATCTTCAAATCGTGTATCATTTTTTTCCTCCTCATTGTTGATCTGCAAATCTTCAAACTAAGAGATTTAGGGATTTCCTATCTGTAGCCCAGTCATATTCAGCAGGGAGCTGGCCTTCCCAGGCTGCAGGAAAAAGGATCACAGATCTGTCTGCAAAGGTCTTACCCATGTGTCTGTGCACTACAGCCTGTAATGCAGTTCAGATGGGGGGAAGTTTGTTAAAATCTTCATGAACAGGAAAATATCTTCTGTGAATGCAGAAAGAATGCACACAACTATGACACAGGCTGCACTGCTTGCTGTACTAGCAGCAGATGTCAAACTTTCTTCATCCCTCTTTTTGTAGAAATAAAAATGCTGTTTTCATGACTACAAGATTGTAATTTTTCAAAGCAGTCACAAGAGGGTTTTTACTTTGGCTTCTGCATTTTCTGTAACTGATAATACAGTTCATTTTTTCAGCTAAACTCTCATATATGCTTCGTAATGTTAGAAAAACATCTTTACAAAAGCCTTTTGATCAGAATAGAGTTAATTAAGTGATATCTTGCTACCTTAGTGCTCACTGTTCTTCAGTGCATTGTGGACGGATCA